CTGACTCTGTTGCCTGCTTTTGTGACCCTTTCCTCCTAGCAGATTGCCTTATCCAGTCTTAATAGCAGATGAGGTGCCTAAGATCACTGCAACTACCATGGCTGGCAGATATCCATGGGAGACCCACCCTTTCTGAAGGAAAAAAAGGAGGAGTGAATAGTGAAGATAAGAGGTAGGAGGGGCTGGAAGGGGAGGAGGGTGGGGAAACATTGGTCAGATGTACAAACAAAAATAAATAAGTAAATTAAAAGAAATTGCTAATTTGTTTTCCTTCAGTGTTTTTCTCTGTGTGCATGCTGTGTGTGTGTATGTGTGTGTGTGTGTGTGTGTGTGTGTGTGTGTGTGTGTGAGTGGTATACATGTGTATGAGTGGTATACATGTGTATACATGCATGTTTACATGTGTGAGCACTTGCCTATGGAAGCCTAAGGTTGATATCATGAATCACCCTTAATTACTCTTCCACTTCATTTGTCAAGGCAGGGTCTCTCAATCAAACACAGAACCCACAGATATGGCTAGTATCACTAGCCAGCTTTTTCCTGGGAATCCTGTCTGAAGTTGGAATTGCAGGCAAACCACACAACCACCCAACATTTACATTGGTTGAGAGGGTTCAAACCCTGGTCCTCACACTTGTACACCAAGCACTTTAGTCACTGAACCATCTCCTGACACATTTTTAACTTTAATTGAGTCTCCTTCTGGTTAGACACAGAATATTACCAATAATTAGATTTTAAAATGTATCTTTTCAGTATTCAATATAGCAAAACTGATTATTTAAATGTCAATCAAATATAAAGGATTAGAAATACACTGTAAGTCAATTTTTTCTGGACTATCTTGTACGAAGAACAAGGTAGGTTTAAGACTCAGACATTTCTGATTCTTCTCTTTGACTTCTCTATGCCTTCATAAAATAGTCAATGTTCTTTCTTTTCCACCTGGTTACAACATCAGGTCACACTAAAGTCAGAGCCTAATTCTTTCACTAGAACCTGAGGGTGCTGGTAAATCTTCACGGTTTTCACTAAACTAAAATAAGCATTTGCTCCAATGTCCTACTCTATTTATTTGTAATTCACATCTTCAAAATATGCCATCTAATATTCTCCCCTTATTAAATAATGTTAAGAAGCAATTACACATCAATATAATTCTCTTAGCATGGTCAAGGAATGGCACCATGACAGGCAGCTGACCCTGCTCTTTCATTGTCTTGGAAGAGTTCCTATAAAATAAAATATCTTAAAATGGAAGGCCCTACAATTCAATTACCTGTATTGTATTCAGAAATTATTTTAATTTGAAACTTTGTTACTATTTTTGATGGCTAGGCACCCAAAAGACTAAAATGGCAGTTTCCTTATGTCTAATTTACTCTTGCATGTTTTAAAGATTATTTGGGCCAATTACTAAGGTTGGCCAATTACTTGAGCTCTAATTTAGCTTTTGTTTTGTTTTTACCATATGGCAATTAAGTTCTAAAAGATGCCTTAGACCCATCATCCCATGGGAAAATATTCTTTTTTATGTTTTTTATATAAGTATGTTTTTATTTATTTTTTTATTTGACCCTTCTAATAATCCATGGGAAAATATTAGAATTTGATTTTAGTCTACTATTATCAGAACTGTTTCCTTTATTTTCCAGTGACCTCATTCCTATTTATGTTTGTCTCTTTCTTTTTTTTTCCAACTTCTTTTATTTGAATTGGGAACAGGATTGTTTTACATGACAATCCCATTTCCCTTCTCCCACCCTTCCTCCCCTACCGCCCCCCCCACTAAAACCTTATCTGTCACATATCTTCTCTGCTCCCCCTGGATGGTGAGGCCTTCCATAGGGTGTCATCAGAGTCTTTCATTTCCTTTGGGATAGGGCCTAAGCCCACCCCCGTGTGTCTTGGCTCAGGGAGTATTCCTCTATATGGACTGGGCTCCCAAAGTCCACATTCTAACTTTTCATTTCTTTATCTTTTTCCTTTTCTATGTGTGTGAGCACTTTGCCTGCATATATGTATGTGTTCCATGTCCATACCCTCCAGAAGGCTGAAGAAGATGTTACAGATGGTTGTGAGCTGTCACTTGGGTGCTGAGACTCAAATCCAGGTCCTCTAGAAGAGAAGTGTTCTCAACTGTTGAGTTATCTCTGGTATCTCTTTTCTTTTCAAATAAAATTTTAGCATTATCCTAGCCCCCTCATACAAAAAAAAATCTATGATGTTGATTTAATAATTTCATTAAGATTTTTCTTTTCATTTATTTGATAAATGTTGCCTATGCACCTGGTAGATAACAGGACACATAACTGATGTTATTTAGAAATTAATAATTACCACCGTATTAAAACACTAGAAAATTATTCCAGCAAAATGGTTCAGCAGCTAGAGGTGCTAGCCTCCAAGTCAGAAAGTATAAGGGCCAAGAGACCAGCTCCAGCCCCAACCCAGGTTTCCAAAGGTAAAATACTTCTCAGGAGCAAAGGAGTGGGCAAAAGATTTCTATAGTAACTTCCATAGCACAATCTGAGGGTCGTGCTCTTTATTTCATGTGCTCTTTATCATTCTGTTCCTGCTCTAATAATCCTGTCCAACTTCTAACTTCTCCATACTTCTTTTTTTAAGATTTATTTCTTAATTATGTGTATAGCATTCTGCATCTATGTATACCTACACAACAGAAGAGGGCACCCAATCTCATTATAGATGGCTGTGAGCCACCATGTGGTTGCTGGGACTCGAACTCAGGACCTCTGGAAGAGCAGTCAGTGCTCTTAACTGCTGGGCCATCTCTCCAGCCCCCTCCATGCTTCTTCTTATAGCTTCTTCTTCTCCTATTCTAAAAGTTTTTCTCCTACAGGAGCCTTCAAGCTATAAGGAAATCACAAGAGTTGTTTCTCATTAGTCAAGAGCACATTCCTAACGCAAGAAATAAGGAGCTGGGCTGCTTACCATGACAACACAAAGATCCATAGAAGCAAAGCAGGGGTGGGGGCACAATGCCAGATGATAGTAGACTGACAAGTGAAGAATTGGCATGCTTTTCTTAGTAACCTTGGTTGGACATCCGTGGTTCTGACCTTGTACATAGCTGGATGGTTTCAAACTTATGAACTATTTACAAAAGGCCTTTAGTCTAATTTGAGCTTGCTGAGGTGAAAGTAAGCTAGTTATGTGCAGTTAGTCTAAGCAAAAGAACAAGGCAGGCAGGCTGGAGAGATGCCTCAGTGGTTAAGAGCAACGACTGCTCTTCCAGAGGGTCTGAGTTCAATTCCCAGCAACCACATAGTGGCTCACAACCATCCATTATGAGATCTGGTGCCCTCTTCCTGTGTGGAGATAGAGAAGGAAGCAGAATGTTATATACATAATAAATAAAATCTTTAAAAAAAAGATCCGGTGCCCTCTTCTGGTGTGCAGATATACATGGATGCAGAATGTTGTATACATAATAAATAAAATCTTTAAAAAAAAGATCCGGTGCCCTCTTCTGGTGTGCAGATATACATGGATGCAGAATGTTGTATACATAATAAATAAAATAAAATCTTTAAAAAAAAGATCCGGTGCCCTCTTCTGGTGTGCAGATATACATGGATGCAGAATGTTGTATACATAATAAATAAAATCTTTAAAAAAAAATAAAAATAGAACAAGACAGGCTTTTCCGTGTCCACAGTCCTTGTGGGACAAATAGATCCAGTTATGAAGCATTTCTCAGTATATATTCTATATATCAAAACTATATAGCTAAATGAAAAGTCATCCCCTTGACCACTGACAGAAATGTGTGCACAGCAGATGGAATATTTGCATGAGATAAACACACATACAGTGGGGAAAAATCCCAAGGCTATCCTAGGGAAGAAGTGAATCGGCATATGAGAGAAATTACAGATTCTGGAATCCGGTTTTCAGAGTCAATGGTCCTGTAAGCCTTGTTAAACAGGAGTATCTCTTTCAGAGTCTGGTGAGTCCACACCTGAAATATCAATTGCCATATGCTGTATATCTCCATGGCCTCTGACAAGAAAGCTTGAGTTTCAGTCCCAAAACCTACATGGTGGAAAGAGAGGACTAACTTCCTCACAAGTTGTCTCTTGCCTCCATGTGAAAGCTGATATATTTATGTGCCTAAATGCATATACATACACATACATAACACATGCATGCACAGGCACACAAATACAAACAAATATAATTTTTTTAAAGATTTTATTTATTTATATACACCATTCTGCTTCCAAGTATATCTGCACACCAGAAGAGGGCACCAGATCTCATTAACGGATGGTTGTGAGCCACCATGTGGTTGCTGGGAATTGACCTCAGGACTTGTGGAAGAGCAGCCAGTGCTCTTAACCTCTAAGCCATCTCTCCAGCCCACAAATATAATTTTTTAAATCTAAAAGCTACAGTAACAGCACTAATTTCCTACCTTACTGTGACATAAGAACACACAATTAAGCTGTATGTAAAAATAAATTCCTCAGACATATTTTAAGTGAAAATGGGATATAATAATTTTATTTTTCTAATCAAATCCCTTTTTTTTTTTTGGTTTTTCAAAACATGGTTTCTCTGTGTAACCTGAAACTCATGTTACAGACCAGACTAGCCTCGAACTCACAGAGATCTGCCTGCCACTGCCCCCCAAGTGCTGGAATTAAAGGTATGCACTAACACCCAGCTTTAACTAAATCTTTATTACTTGGCACAACCAAAGAGAATTGCAATATTCTTATTTAAGATAAGCCGTTTGTTTTCAGAAGTGAAATAAATATCTCTTATCTCCTAATCTCTGAACTTCTTTTCCTAAAACTAAAATGGTTCAGTAGGCTTCTGCATGAAATAATTAAGAAGGCAAAAATCCCAATTCTGATTAGGAAGAATAGTTCCATGTATCCTCTCCTGAAAGCCAATGGTTATAAGTTCAGCCTTTTACCTACTATACTTTATAAACTGGCCCCCAGGTCCAAGACTTCAGGCATCTGTCACTGGGACCATTTGGGAAAGAGCAGAAGAATAGCTTTATCCCGTATCTGCTTGGTCTTCACTCCGTAGACAACAGGGTTGAGTGCAGGTGGGATAATTACATACAGGTTGGCAAACATAATGTGGAAAGTACGAGGGACATTGTGTCCAAATCGATGAGCAAGGATGGAGAAGAATGCCGGTATATAGAACATGAGAATGACACAAACATGAGAACCACAGGTGCCCAGGGCCTTCTGGCGTGCATCTCGGGAGGGAAGACGAAAAACAGCACATAGGATGAGAGTGTAGGAGATGGCAATGAGGACCACATCTGTAATCACTGTCATGATAGGAACACAAAATCCATACCAGATGTTGATGGAGATATCTGCACATGCCAGCCGGGCAACACCAATGTGTTCACAGTAGGTATGGGCAATGACGTGTGTCCTGCAGAAGGGTAGGCGATTCACAAGAAAAACACATGGGACAAAAACACAGAAACTTCGGAAAGAAATTCCTACAGCAATTTTGACAACAGCTTTGGGCGTGAGAATAGTGGTATATCTCAAGGGTGAGCAGATGGCCACATAGCGGTCAAATGCCATGGCCAGCAAGATAGCTGAGTCCAAGACAAAGCTGTAATGCAGAAAGAATAACTGGGTCAGACAGCCAGGAAAACTGATTTCCTGAGGACCAAACCAGAAGATGCTAAGGGTCTTGGGGACACAGGTTGTAGACAATATGAGGTCAGTCGTGGCCAACATGGAAAGGAAGAAGAACATGGGGGAATGAAGACTGTTTTCCACTGCGATGAGGTAGAGAAGAAGGCCGTTGCCCACAATGGCCACCAAATAGATAAAGCAGAAAGGGATGCTGATCCAGACATGGTACTGCTCAAGTCCAGGGATGCCTGAGAGGGTGAAAGGGCCAGTGTTGTAGCTACTCATGTTGTGCATGACCATTGAGATCTGAAGAATAGCCTTTCTATCCTAAAAGCAAATGTGTATTATAAGCATGAGGCATTGTGTAGTAACTCTTCCTCCTCAACTTCCTTGGAACTGGTTCTCTTCCCTATATTTGAGAAAAGAAAATCAGATTACTATTAGGAGCAATACTGGTGGGCAGGAAGATGGCTCCATGATTAAAAGCACTGGCTGCTCTTCCACTGGTTCAATTTCTGACACCCATTGCTGTGAGTGTCGTGGCTCACAGCTAAATCCAGTCCCAGGGAGACTGACACCCTCTTCTGACCTTTGTGGGCACCAGGCACACACATAATACACATATATACATTCAGGCAAAACACTGACAGAAAAAAAAAATAATAAATGCCCCAAAAGGAGAGCAATTCTCATGACTTTGAGAAAGAGCCATCAGATTCCTGGTGTTAATTCTCAAGTTTCTTCAGAAACCAAATCAGAGAGAAATAACTTGTCTAATTTATAAACTACTAATCCTATTTAAATGACTGAGTTTTCTCTGAGTCTATATAATTCATTGTTGTATGGATGTGTTTAGGGGAAAGTGCTCTAACTGCATACAGGAACAGGGATACACTAAAGAGACTGTCTCACTACTGGGAACATGAGGTAATTAGCAATTTTGGATACCTACTACACTCCAACATCTCTTATGTGTTATCTTATTTAGAAGACCCTCATTAAAAATGAATTTTGTCTTTTTACTTTCGTTTTGTTTTGAGAAACCGAACATCTGTGAAGTCATCTATCTGGCAAGGAAAATCTCATCTTGAGTAACTGGCAGTGGCAAGATATTTGATTCCATGACCAGCACTCTTTCATGGTGCTATCCTTTACCAGGTGATGCCTGCAGACGCTGTGAAATGCTGATGACTCACAAGAGATATGAAGCTGTAGAAAGAACAGTAATATACAGAAGCGAGATTTGTCCAAACACCAACACCACACCAGTTTCCATCACTATCCTCCAAGCCTGAGACTTTCAGACCAACACATTCTGAGACGGGGTTACCTCCTCATGGAGAACAAGATGTGAAGCTGGGCCTCCATCTACCCCTTAAGGATGAAGGAAGAAAATCTGTAAGAATTAATCCAATTGTACTTTTTAAAAATAATGCTGGGAGGACCTCTAGTGGATGAAATGCAGAATTTAATTTTTTTGTTGTTTTTCAAGACAGGGTTTCTCTGTGTAATTTTGGAGCCTATCCTGGCCTTGAACTCACAGAGATCCTCCTGCCTCTGCCTCCCAAGTGCTGGGATTAAAGGCATGTGTCACCAATGCCAGCACAGAATTTAATTATTCTAAACCCTGAGTCAAAGTAGAAACAAAGAAACTTGGTAAGATTTGAGAATTTTCAGTGTTTGACAATTGAAAAATCTTAACATGAAGCCACTTTTGTAACTCTCCTAAAAGTCTTCTAAGAAGGCTGGGGACCTGACTCAGATGGTATAGTGCTTGCCTAGCCTGTTGGAAGCCATGGCTATTATAAAAGCATTGCATACATCCTGGATGCCATCATGTTCCTGTAATCCCAGCACTGAAGAGGATCAGAAGTTAAGGCCATCTGGGGGTAAATAGATACACCATATTATCATGCATAGTTTACAAATGTAGAAAGTAAATCAGAGAAATAACTCTTCAAAAGCTACACAATGGCTGGGCAGTGATGGCGAATACTTTTAATCCCAGCACTCGGATGGCAAAGGTAGGTGGATCTTTGTGAGTTTGAGGCCAGCCTGGTCTACAGAGTGAGTGCCAGGACTGTTTCACAGAGAAACCCTGTCCAAAAATAAAAAGCTACACAATAAGTATAAAATACATATGAGAGTCAAACACCAAATCTTAAAACTTCTATGTACATAAGCAAAATTCATGATGGAGCTAGCAAGCTCTGTGGAGAACAGAAAGCACATGATGTCAGCATAGCAATAGACTGTGACCCAACTCCAGAGCCACAGTTTGAAGCACTGTAATTCAAAGCTGATCAGAGGTCGAAGCAGATGACACGGCTGTGCAAACACAGTGAAGTACATTTTCTGTCCATGCCCTTTTTTTCTTTTTTCTTTTTGGGTTTTCTAGACAGAGTTTCTCTGTATAACAGCCCTAGCTGTCCTGATACTAGCTTTGTAGATCAGGGTGGCCTCTAACTCACAGACATCCACTTGCTTCCACCTCTGGAGTGCTGGGACTAAAGGCATGCACCACCACTGCCCAGATCCATGCCCATTCTTAATGAGGCTGGGTGCCTATGTCTCCCTCGATGTAAAGTACTTCTCCTAGCCCTTCTCCTGCTTCTGGCAAAGCTGTGTTTCACTCATCACTTCAGCCTCAGACAAGCCTATTCCACTCCATGCACATAAAGGATACATCCCTGGAAATAGTTTCCAGATTCCCCTATCTTGCAAAGTGATATTTCTTCTTTTAGGAAATTCATAGTATTTATATTACTTTTTTAACATTTCTCTTCCTGGCTAGACTATAAGACAAAATCATGTGAATTTTGTTCATTTTTCATGTTATCTTCAATGTCTATACAACAGTGTCACTCAAGAACCTTTATAAACTGAATATCATTAATTAAGCCAAATAAAAAAGTGAATATTCTCATAGTCTTAAGTTTCCCCACAATAAATTTTCATACATTAAAACTGTATTACTTTCTATGTAAAGCAAAATAAGCCTACATAAATTGGAAGCCAGTATATGCCAAGCCACATACAAATGCTAAAAGCATTCATTAGCTATATAAGTAAGATCATAATTGTCATTTTATTGACACTTCCCAAGAGATTCTCACCAATAACATAGGACACTTTTAGGACAGATTGTCTTTGCCTATGCCTTTCATTTTGGCTTATGCCAGTGGCCATGTCAGAGGCGCTGGAGTCAGCAATGGAGCTTATGGGATACAGCCCAGTGAATGGCAAAGCTACTCTTGGTATATCCTGGAGAGGCATAGCTCCAGCTGGATTTTTTTCTACAATGCCCCTTGCTTCTGCTGTGCTTCCTTGTGTTTGCTGCTGCCGTGTTCCTGCTGTATTTGGCAAGTGTGATCACTATATGAAAGGATTCCACTGTATCTAGTACCGTGTGGTTTTTCCTTGGAAAAATCCCACCTTCTCACTGGGCAACTTACTTTGCAGATCATAATGAAGATGATTTTGTAAGAGTAATTACGACCAGTTAGATCTATGATTTAATGGGACTTTCTGAGTTAGCCTAAAAGATACAGGTTGTTAGGACAGTTAGTAAAGATGATTAGGGAAATGGTTTAGGTTTTTCTGCCAGTCGCTCCAATATGACACACAGAAAAGGCAAGAATGGGCTAAAAGTCACCTTCCCCTCTGTTAGACATGAGATTTGAAGACCATGAAAAGTAAGATCAAGGACACTTTATGCATTAAAGACCCATGAATTCTGCCTGTGGAAAAACAGGCTGATGATCAAGAAAGCAATTATGTCCCTACACCCAATGTCAGGCCTGAGTTCCTTGGTCATGTAACTTACAGAATTAATCACAGGCTTTGGTATGCACCTAGGAAAAAAAAACAAAGTTGTAAAAGAAAACTATCTGAACCTATTGTGTGTAAAGAAAAATAAGGAGCTAGCTGACCACTCATTTCAAGTTTCTCTAGAGTAGAAAATCAAAATCTGCTGCACTGAAACTGCAAACAGCTGCTTGCCAGTACAGAAGGAATGGCCGAAATCTACTTAGCTTGCCTAAAACTTGGTTAATCGGTAATAGAAGAATCATTGCTTTAGGGTGAAGATGTTATGGTGAGGAAATTAATACAAAGAAAAATATTTAACTACTGGGGGCTTTTTTGTTTTGTTTGTTTGGTTTTTGGTTTTTCGAGACAGGGTTTCTCTGTGTAGCTTTGGAGCCTATCCTGGCACTCGCTCTGGAGACCAGGCTGGCCTCAAACTCAAAGAGATGCACCTGCCTCTGCCTCCCAAGTGCTGGGATTAAAGGTGTGTGCCACAAACACCCGGCACTACTGGGGGCTTTTAAGGAAAACATGTAACTTTTGATCTTACAGTGACTTCTTATATAGAGATTTTAAATTGTTTTTGGAAAATATATAACTTGTGGTTGTGAGGTAATCTTTTCTTGCTTAGAAATATCTGTCTTGTGTGGTATAAAAGGGATAAGGGAGGGCTGGAGAGATGGCTCAGAGGTTAAAAGCACTGACTGCTCCTCCAGAGGTCCTGAGTTCAATTCCCAGCAACCACATGTTGGCTCACAACCATCCATTATGAGACCTGGTGCCCTCTTCTGGTGTGCAGATATACATGGAAGCAGAATGTTGTATAATAAATAAATAAAATTTTAAAAAAGGGGGGGGGGAAATAAGGGAAAATGTAAATCAGGAAAACCAGCAGAGAGAAAAATAAAATGAAGAATTAAACTTCGGCCCTCAGAAAGAAGTTTCCTGTGTGTGAAGCAGTGCCGACTCCACACCTCCTTTCCAGTTCCTGTGACCTTCTCAAAGCTGCTCTTTAAGCAACAGGCTTAGCTGAAAGTCAGTCCAGGAAATGTTTCACTGCATGAAGCGTCCTACCAGTGTGTGGCAGCAAGTGCCTTGGTTTAGTCTATCTTGCTTAAGGTTGAGATATTTCCATATTCACAGCTTTACTGCCTAACTTTAAAGTTCAATTGCTGTAAAACACTAACTACCCTAAATTGATCATATGTAAAGCACATCACACTGACTTTTGTTGCCAGAGAGCCCGTCTACCATCCTTTCCACCCCACTTCTGCCCTTATTCGTCACTATAATTAATGGATGGATAAAATGAACGGGTGAACATTGAATGGAGTGGAAATGTACATTATAATGATACATATGCCCAGATACACACAGACTCAAAATTTAGTCACAGTACAGCAAAGAGAACGGCTTAAAAAATCCAGTGTAGATGAATATGGTGACCTATAATCTGAGTTCTTGGAAGGTTGCCACAAGTTTAAGGCCAGCCTGGACCAAGTAGTGAGTTCCAGACCTATAATACAGAGTAAGACACTGTCTCATAAACCATAAGTAAAGTAAAATACATGATAATTTAAAAATAACCTTTAGA